ATCTCGGAGCCAGCTAAAAAAAAATAAGGAACCACTTTTTCAATTTTTTTTTTTTTTTAAACTAGCAAAGTTTAATTTACAACGAGAAATATCTTAAAGGGACAAAATAGTCACCAGAACCACTACAGATTAATGTAGTTGTTCTGGTGCCTATAGTCTGTCCCTGTAACCTTTTAAATTTTAACCCTGCAAAGGCAGTATTTACATTGCTGTCTAGTAATAAGACGTCTATTGACAGTCACTCAGACGGCCACTAGAGGGTCCTGTGTCAGAACTGCACAGTGTGCAGCACCTATGTTTAGCGTCGTCATGGAGGCGCTGAATGTTACCCATATAAATCATGTGCAATATCATCCCAATGCTCTCCTATGGAAAAGTATTGGCTTAGATGAGACCATAAAGATTAATGATCCTAGCTATAGATGTGGGACAAGCCACGGCGAAACCATTACAAAGCACAAGGCAGCAGAGAGGAGCTGCAGAATATTTGAAGTCAGGACCAATATACAATTAAGGCCAAGGTGAAGGTAGATAAAATTGCATGTCAGTTGTGGTAGTTCTTTCAGCAATTGGTGTATTTCCCCTAAAATCGAGATGCAAGCTAACATTGTCAGTGGACAGGGAAAGGTAGCTTCTCTAGCAGCTAAATCAAATCTCGGAGGGATTGAGGGCTAAAAAAGATAGCATAGAGTTAGATATAGCATTGAGATTCAAACTTCCCAATGCATCAGACATGACAGGATGGGGTGGATATTTGTTTAAGTGCTATAATAGTCCACATTATGCAACACAGAGTAAAGGGGAAGCAAGATTATGTTTTTTTTTTGTTTGTTTGTTTTTTTTTGTGATATAAAATAGCATAATTTAGCTAAAACAGACATTATTTCTCTCCAAATCTCGAGAAATTTGAAGTTGCCTTTGGCAACGTTTAGAGAAACAATTCAAAACCATCTATAATGAAGAGACACAACATAGAGACAATGACAACAACAAACTAACGTAGCTTACCTTGCAGTAAATTACATTGCTTTAAGATGTACAATCTTTGAGCTAAGATGAGTATATCATTACTACAAACAACTAAACAAATATAAAGTAGCCTAAACCTATGTCGAAGCAATGCCCGAAGATATTGGCTCTATGAATTCTAAAATCCCCAGAGAAAACGTTGAATGTATAATAAATACTGCTTAGGGCACACTGACATGGTATATAATGAAGCAGTGACTAAATCCTTTTTACACAATAATTCTAAAAATTAATCCGAGCCTAGAGGAAAATAAACTGCACAAAGAAACAAATCATGAACGAACAGTTACAAACCTACAGCAAAAGGACATGCCATGTAAGGACAATGCTGAGAATGAATAGACATTGCCAATTATAAAACAAAGCCTACTATGTACATTTACCGTGTGAAATCGATAAATAATGAAATAACATCTGAAGGAAATGAACATAATAAAAGAAAATTGTCAAACCATTTAGTGAATAAAGCCTAAAAAAGTCCCAAAAAGGCTTAATGCAGAAAAGACTAAGCCTAAAAATGTGACAACGCATATAATGTATTGACTACACGACACATATTAAATGATTTAATAAAGCAACATCTGGCACACTGAAATAACATACACAAATACGAGACAGACGGCAAACTAGTTAAAACTACAGTCTCGCTATGTCTCAAATCACTTACACTACCCTTGAGCTTAGAGCCCAACACTTTTTGGGGGTTTCACTGACCTAAACTTGTTAATGCACCCTTGATAACACCGATTTACAAGCAAATATGTCTAGACCATGGGTCGTCAACCAGATCCCTACTGCCCACTAGTGGCCGTTTCGGGATTCCAGGTGGGCGGTAGGAACTTCGGAGGTTAAAACCTCGAGCGAGCGCACACATCAATCAACCAACGTGCGCGAGAATGTGTGCGGTAGGGATTTCGGAGGTTAAAACCTCCTTTAGTGCGAGCGGGAGCGGGCGGGCACGAGCGCACACATCAATCAACCAACGTGCGCGAGAATGCGTGTGATAGGGATTTTGGAGGTTAAAACCTCCTTTTGGGCGGGTGGGCGCGCACACATCAATGAACTAATGCACGCATGCACGCAAACACGTGGGAAGAGGAAGGGGAGGAGTGGAAACTGATAGCAGGGACAGGCAGAAGCAGGCAGAAATGGAGCAGAGCAGTTGCAAAATAGGAGAAAGAAAAGTTATAGGCAGGGGAAAGAGAGAATTGTTGTTGGCTGATAATAATAAGTGGGCTAACTAGCTCAACTTTACTTTTGTACCTAAGGAAGGTAAAAGAAAGGAGATAAAAAGGAAAAGATAAAAAAAGGGAAGAAAAATAGAGAAAAGGGGATAAAATAAAGGAGGAGAGTAAGCAGTGTTTAGTCTGGCTCATAAATTAAGTTTTGTTATCTTATAAAATAAAATAAAAAAATAAGTAAAGGAAGGAGAAAATTTAAAAAAAGGGAAAAAGAGATCCTTGATATAGTGATATACTATAAGGAAGGTAAAGAAAAAGAAGGCAGGAAAAATAATTGCTAAGAATTGGCACCTAATACAGCGTTGTTTTTGGTGTTTGTAATAAAAGGGAAAAGAGGAGGAAAAAAAGCACTGTGTGGAGTGCAGATCAAAACGTAAGAGTAAAAGTAGTTGTTAAATTGTGAAACAAATTTAGAACCCATGTCTGAAAAAAAGAAATATGCTCGTGGCTATTTACCAGAGTATCTCAAGATGGGTTTCATTGAATCGGTTACAAATAAACAGCTTTCAATGTGTTTACTGTGCCACATTATCTAATGAAGCAATGAAGCCAAGTCGATTGCGAGAACATCTTGCTACAAAGCATTCGCAAGATAAAGATAAGCCCATTGAATATTTTCAAGAAATCTATAAAAGATTTCAAAATCGTTCAACAATAGCTGCATCATTTCAAAAACAACATGCAAAGAATGAGGATGGATTAACTGCAGTTTATCGTATATCACACTTAATTGCAAAAAGTGGTAAAAGCCATAATATTGGAGAAACTTCGATAATACCCTCTATCAAAGAATTTATTTCAACAGTAATGCATCAGGATATACCTGAAGTTTTAAAAACATTGCCCCTTAGTGATAACACAGTAAAGAGACGCATTGACGAAATGGCGGCTAATGTTGAAAATAAACTTATAGGTATTCTCCAAAATTCTTCATTTTCCATACAATTGGATGAGTCTGTTATTGCAGATAATAATGCTCTACTGATGACATAGGTACGGTACCTTGATGAAAACAATACATTGCAAGAAGAAATGCTATTAACTGTCAATCTAATAACAGATACAAAGGATTATCAATATTTAATGCTGTGAAATCATACTTTGCAAAAAATAATATACCCTTGAACAATATTGTTGCATGTGCTACTGATGGAGCACCATCAATGGTAGGCCGCTATCGTGGGTTTGTTGCTTACTTGAAGGAAGAAGTGCCAAACGTTTTGTGTATTCATTGCGTTGTGCACAGACAACATATTGTAGGAAAACATTTAAGTACAAGTCTCCATTCATCATTAAGTATAATAATTAAAGCTGTAAATAAGATACAATCTAATGCCAAGTGTGATAGAATGTTTCGACAGCTGTGCCAGGACAATAATGAGCAGTTTATTAGGTTACTTTTACATACAGAAGTTCGATGGCTCTCAAAAGGTACATGCTTGTCTCGTTTTGTTGCATTATTTGATAGTGACGTACAGTTTTTTGAAAGTGATAATGAGGCTGGTCTCTATAAACAGTTAAAAAACGTAAAGAATGATGCCTTTTATTTGGCAGACATTTTCAAGAGATTTGATGAAATTAATTTGCAGCTTCAAGGAGCCAATATAACTCATAAGTTGCAAAAATATTGTGTCATTATTTATCGAAAAAAGCTTGATCTTCTCCGTCATAATATTTTCAAGAGAGAATTTCATCAGTTTCCTGAATTGTCCTCTATAAACAATGATGTAACTCCGGGGGATATTGAAAGGTTCAGTAGCCACCTCAAGGAACTCAAATTGGATATGAAAAAACGATTTCAAGATATTTTGAACTTAAAGGTGCATGACTGGATGATAAATCCTTTTACAGCAAATGTTGCTGAGGTTGATATAACTTGCCAAGAAGAACTATTAGAACTTAAATATGACGAAGAGAGTTAATGTAATTTTGGCAGTGGTGGATGCCAAAAACTCTGGCAAAATAAAAAAATGCCTGCGTTATATCCAAATATGTGGAAAATGATGTTCAACTTATTGATACCTTTCCCTACCACATATCTTGTAGAATCAGGCTTTAGTGCTGTTAATCATATTATGAGCAAACAGAGAAACCATCTGAATATCATTGAAAGAGGAGACCTTCATTTGTTCATTCCGAAAATCGAACCAGATATCAAATATTTAGTCTCGCAGCATCAGCTAATTTTAATTTACTTTATTGTTTTCTAATTAAACTTTATAAAGTTAAAAACATTATAAACATGCATAAAGTAGAAATAAAAAGATAAATGTACATACATTTTTTATTTTTTTTAAACACCCTCCTTTCTTAACCAATATTCCGCACTTGCACAAAAACTGGTGGGCGGTAAGGAAATTTTTCCATCAAGAAAGATGCATTAGTGGGCGGTAGGTAGAAAAAGGTTGACTACCACTGGTCTAGACCTTGCTTGTAAACCTACTTTGTTTTCTCTGACATGTAATGCTCGCATAAGTACCTTTCTCGGTATTGTTATGACATGACATTGGCCAAGGAGAGTTCGGAGAGAGAGACCGAACTCTCCTTGGCCAATGTCATAACAACGTATGCTTTATCTATGTTTTGCTTTTCTTTTCTGTAACGTAATTAACACTGTCTCAATAAAAGAAAGAATTCAAAATAAATAACATATAATAAGATACACCAGCTTAAATTTAACTGAAATGAACAGAGCAATGATGCCTACAGTGAACGGATATTGCGAATAATGAGAAAAATGCTAAAAGTGATTTGAGCAGTGACTAAAGAACAAACCTAGGGCAAACTGGAATGATGTATAATAAGCCAAAACCTAAGCCCACTCCTAAAGTGAAGTAAAATAGTGTCTAAGCAGCCAATGTATAGAATGATCTGGCATTGTCAGTCCAAATGACACCAAGAGTGAACGTACATTGTGTAGAATGCAACAAGGTCTAGACTGAGTAAAGAGACAAAGACCACACCATTCAGTTACCGGACTCTTACCCACCGTTTTGGTTTTCTGATTGACTTACCTATTTACCGCTGTAACAGTTGGGCTCTCGTCCAATGCCTTGTTGCCTAGACAGTATATAGTTTACTAGAGGTAATGTGAATATGAATATTTCCAATGGATGTTCAGAACACAAATGACAGTATGGTGCAAGAGGTATGATAATTCCATGGGGCTTAAATGTAAGTTAACAATAACAATTTTACATCTAGGAATAGACCTCCATTTGGGACTGGAATTATAAAACCAGCAGATGGCACTGAAATAGGCATGACAAAAATTCAGTGATGTCCCTTGAGATGAAACTGTCCCCCAACAGAGCACCAGAGATGAGAGATGCCATACTTCGGTACTGAAACCAGACCCTCATCCAGGGACCAAGCCCCTTCAACCCCAACCCGCCCTTTCTTGCATCTTGACATCACACATTATGGAGATGCTTTTGACCTGCAGAGTGACATGCAAGGAACATGATTACAGACAGCTTGCCTCAGGAGACAGTTGCTGAGGAATGCACACTACAAGGTATAGCAATGATGACAAATATTTTTATTTTACTTATTCAGAGTAAGCAGGTTTATTCAGAATAAGTACAACATAAGACTGAAAAAATGGGGCAAATTGCTAGTATGAGAATTCAGGTGGATCAATGATTTGGGAGAAGTAGCTGGTGGCTATGATTTTGGATGGATGTGTCCGGGGCATTGAATTGGGGGGATGCAGATAAGTACTGTGGTTTGGGGACGATGGCTGTGGACCGGTGACTTAAGTGAAGTGGATGTAGCAATGGTTTTTTGCTACATCCTCCTCAATGCTGGGGGCATTGAATTAGGGGGATTGGCTGTGGGTATTGAGTAAGAATAGGAAAATTGCATGGATAACAGTAGTGGGTATGTAGAGGGCAATCCCAGAGAAGTAGGCAAGACAATGTTCCTTATATTTACTATGGGGTATTGGAAGGAGTAACCTCAGTAGTAGGACAATTGGTGTTAGTTGGGAAAACATCAGTGTGGCAAATAAACCTGGAAAGTCGAAAATCAACTGTTTGACAGTAGAAAAGATGGGATGTGAACTGTGGCAGGCTATGGCATCCGTTTATATTTTAATGGGTGTTGGACGCGCTTTGTTTGGTTATGACTTCAGGAAGTGAAAATTAATTGAGAAAAAGAGCTAAGAAAACAAAGAAAGCAAACAGGGTATCTGGTATTTCGTTTATTAATTTATACAGTGCATACAACATCCATGGTAAAAACCATAGCTTGTTTTCTATCCAAAAAGAGTCCACAATCTATAGTTATATTGCTAGAGTCACAGGACAATAGGGGTGCTAATCTGCTTTGCTACAAGTCTAAATGTCATATCTCTGATGTGCTGGGAAGTAGCATACAGGTTTTTTTTTTTACTTCAACGGGATTCAGAATTCTGCAGACCCAGATCACTTACAGATCTGATGAGCTCTATACAGAGTAAAGAAAATGTACTAGACCAGGGCTTTTCAAATGTAAGCTTCTGTTGAGTTACAGCTCTCATTAGAGATGGACAAAAAATTTCAGATTCCATCAAGTTGGAATGTTCACGTCTGTGTTTCCAATGTTTGTATGAACAGCTCACGGACTAAGGAAGTACATTTCAATCTGGACTTTTCCTGCAGGTGGTTAGAGGCCTCTGTTTTCGGGTTTCCCTCGGTGAAAAAGTCACAAAATTCCACTGGCCAAGAAAACGTGGCTGGTACTGATGAAAAAACCCCGAAGTACATGTTCAGAAAGTGCTGTAACTTTAAACAGCAATGCTCATCTGAAGGTCAACAAATTACTACGGCATCTTCTTTCTATGTGGTCACACTTTCTCTCTATAAGTCATTGATATAGTGGTTGTGATAGAATTTCAGGGACGTGAATAAAGAAAAGAACAAGAAAAACGCAGGTTCATAGTTCCAAGGCAAATCCAGAGATTTCCCTAAAATATTTTGAAAGAATTTTTTTTCATTGTAATATACAAAAAAAAAAAAAATATCTGTATATAAAAAAAGGCTGTCCTTGACATGTCAAGAAACAAACCGGTTATGTGACTGCTAAGTCATCAATAAAGAACAAATATATATATATATATATAAATCATAAAAATATTTCTTTAAAACGTGTTGTTTGCGTACCATGTTTAAGTGCCTCAGCTATGAATACTTTTCTCTTCTATGCAAGGACTAAAAATTTGTTAAAAATAAAGTTAAATTTGTGTTCTGCTCTTTTAATCATTTGGAGTTCCAGAGGGATCTGCCTGTTTCCATTGGCACCCAAAGGGTTAATAAACTGTGGAGTGATTTCGCAATACAAATTATATGGATATCGTATTGGGTATTGTATCAATACAAATTATATGGATATATATAATATCCATATAATTTCCATATAAAATATAATATCCATATAATATGTATATATATAAAAAAACATAGAACATTAACATTCCTTTTCCCGTGATACACAGAAGCCACATAACACATACTGAAATATATGTATTTACATGACAAATATTTGTTGGATTAAAAACTGATATTTTGTTGAAGCCACTGCCTGCAATAGCGCTATAGGGACTCTCATTAGGACACAGATGAGATAGGATTGTGAGGAGAACCCATCTGAGTCAGGACCTTATCCAGCCATTGAAGAGGACCATGTAAATGGATTTCGATCCAGCAAGGAGTGCTTGTTACATCCTGTCGATGATATTCAGCTCCCCAGCCCTGAAAACATAAAGGTGCAATGAGAGATTAACAACTGATGACTGCAATGTGTCCATTACATGTTGCAGTAGCTACATCTAAAAGTGATGTTCTTTGTTACAAATGAAATATTTACATGGTCATAAAACCTTCCTCAGGCACTGCAGGTGTTGAAGTCGCAGGCAGTTTTAATGAAACGTTGCTATTCTTTTTGTTTCACTAAAACTGTCTGCGGCTTCAACACCTTGAGTGCCTGGGGAATTTCTTTGTTGCCTTATTGTTGTGGGATTGCTAGTCCTGCTCCATGGCACAGGTGGCTGCTGGGATTGAGTGTGGCTTCTACCATCACTTTTGCAGTAAAACCTTTCTCGTCATCTTACGACTCATTGGCGATCAATAAGTATTTCTCTAGGGCAGGGCTACAAATTTCTGCTAATTATTGGTAAGTAAAAATGTAGCCCTCGTACATAGAAATTCATCCTAGGTAAGTGTGACATGGACCAACCAGGCTTGAAGTGGCAACTAAGTCTTAGGCCTGGCTAATAGTATAGAACCTGAAATTTTGAGTCCTGTTCTAAGGAACACATACATTAGATACTTTTTTCATAGGTATCAAACTTAGCGTCCAACTGTTCTTGAACTACTGGCTATCCAATTATTATGGATGATTTCGTGTTAATGTATTATTACATATAATGTAGCCATAGGCTCTCTAATTCACTAAGTATCATTGGTTTCAACAAATAATGTATCTTACATATATTACATTCAGTGCATTTGGCCTCTGTGAAGTTGTCTGTTATTGACCAAGACCAAACAAGTAGGAAAAGGCAGGAGGACAGGAGGATTCAGACAGGAGGAAGTGATATTTCTAATATATCATTGTACTGTATTGAAATATAAAGTACAATGACAAAAGTAGTAAGGTTAGATATAGGATTGATCATGATTGATTATTAAAGGGACACTATAGTCACCTGAACAACTTTAGCTTAATGAAGCAGTTTTGGTGTATAGAACATGCCCTTGCAGCCTCACTGCTCAATCCTCTGCCATTTAGGAGTTAAATCCCTTTGTTTATGAACCCTAGTCACACCTCCCTGTATGTGACTTGCACAGCCTTCCATAAACACTTCCTGTAAAGAGAGCCCTATTTAGGCTTTCTTTATTGCAAGTTCTGTTTAATTAATATTTTCTTATCCCCTGCTATGTTAATAGCTTGCTAGACCCTGCAAGAGCCTCCTGTATGTGATTAAAGTTCAATTTAGAGATTGAGATACAATTATTTAAGGTAAATTACATCTGTTTGAAAGTGAAACCAGTTTTTTTTTTCATGCAGGCTCTGTCAATCATAGCCAGGGGAGGTGTGGCTAGGGCTGCATAAACAGAAACAAAGTGATTTAACTCCTAAATGACAGTGAATTGAGCAGTGAAATTGCAGGGGAATGATCTATACACTAAAACTGCTTTATTTAGCTAAAGTAATTTAGGTGACTATAGTGTTCCTTTAAGGACTCATATTACTAGTTTTTATTTTAATATCACAGTGCTTATTAGTCCAATAATCATTACTTAATTAATTAATTAATCATTCTGATGGCAGGCAGTAGGTGAGTATGTCGGCAACACGAACAAGATGCATAAAAGGTGAATGCAAAAAAATAGACCATTTTATTTGGACACCATGGAGGGAACTAAACAGAAGAAGCTTAAGTTAAAATAAATTACAGGTTCGCTTTCAAAGTGAATTTCAAAATTAATACAGAAACAGACGAACTGGACAATTTCTCAAAATCAACTATTCTTCAAGTTTGACTATTAGACCTTACATTTCAAATATACTTAAAATTTCTTCCTATAGTGAATAATTCTGTGAGTGTCCTTTTAATAGAAGGAAAATAATACTGTGTTTTATGTCCATAAATGTATTAATCTGCCACATCCTGTGCAAACGTTAATATTCACAACAATATCCTAGCTATTATTTGCTGATATCTATATCTACTCAATATCAGAATAATAATGTTAGGGATTTAATGTAGACAATAAATATTAAGCTAGAATTGTATTCATTCCATCCATTATAATAAAAGAAACAATTGCAGTGACCTTGCAAGAAATTGCAGTGACCTTGTCTGACTCTCTCCCTGCTTACCATGACTTTGAGAAATGAAGCCAATAAAACAAATATTGCAATTTCTCTGCTTCCCAGACAAGTATAAATTGTCTAAATACAAAGGAATGTAAATAATATTCTACACAACTGATTTTTACAAAAGATATCAATGTAATTTAGTCTCTAGGGAATAGTTTACAAAGTGTATTAAAAATTCTCACATTATGTTTTACATCACACCAAAAAAAACTATTTCTGCAAGTTTTCATTTTTTTTCCAATTAAAAAAATTATTTGGTATTAAAAACATAATTTATATATTTTTCTGGAATAGAACATGCTAAATTAAAAATCTATCACACTTTTGTACATTGATTGGTTAACAGAAAACATACAATATCCCAATATCCACACACTTTGCAGTGAAGTGACATGTTACATAGTGGTCTGTTTAAAAAAAAAGATTCAGGCTTAAGTTCAGCCAGACATCTCTTTATGTTTGTGATCCAAAAAGCAAACATTTGCATCTGAAGTGATTGGCAATTGTGCCACAAAAAAAAAAAAAAAAAAAAGGAAAATAAATTCTAGTGGCAATTTCTTTGTCCCGCGGTGGTATTTCTTCGTCCCATGCATTATTATGGCTGTTCCTGTGCATATTAAGTATTACACTTGGGCGCTGCCAAACTTTTTGCTTGGTCCGAATACATTTGGACGGGAAAAATCTTTTTGTTTTAGCTGAACAAAATTTCGTTCCATGCCATGGGCGGCAGCTCTATCTCAGAACTCTCTAAATTTGTACCCGAATAAGATTCCCATATTTAAGGGTGCCAAAATAGGGAGCTGTTTAGTAGATAGCGCTTTTTTGGTATCCTAATGGCAATCCTACAAGAATTAGGAAGCTATCTACTAATAATAAGTAAAAAATATACTTAGTATTAGTAAAAAAGAGAGGTTAAATCTTCCCTCCCACCCCTACCCACTGTGCTGTGAGTAGGGGCATGTCTACTAAACAACGCTCACTGTTCTGACTGGGCATCTATTACTGCTCAGTCACTAATCCAATAGATCAATGTTAGAGCACCTGATAAATTAATAAAGGGGGGAACTTAGTGTTCCCCAGTACCCCCCACATTTTATTTAATATTCCCCACCCTCTGGCCACTAGTGGGGGCCGGACACTAAAACACCATTTATTTTAATAGCCCCCACTAGCGGGGCACAGGAGGGGACACTATGCCCCTCCCTCTTTTATTACTTTATTAGATGTTTATTAGATGGGGGCATGGGGGACCTGTGCCAGATCCCCCTTTATTGTATTAGCGTCTGGGAAGCAATAACAGTAGACAAGGGAAGGAGGGAGGATTTAACCTCCCTTATACTAATATGGGAATCATACAGACCCCCACAGGGTGAGGGGGGGAAGAGGGATTTAGCACAGCTCCTAGCTGCTTCTATTTTTAAATATTACAAGGAAGGAGCTGCGAGTTGGAAGTTTCCTCCATGTAATAAAATAAAACGAACAAAAAACAAATTGCATGGACAAAATTTGTCCAACAAGCAATTCGTTCTTCGTGTCACTTGTAATTTGTGTTCGTCTTTTGGACAAAGGGCCGAATTGCCGAAAATTCAGACAAAACTGTGTTTTTCCAAAAACGAATGCCCTAGTCTATTATTTATATCCTTTTTAACAGCCTCTAGACAGAGACTATATATTCCATCTAAATACATCTTCCCATTATACATTGATTTGTTTGTTTAATCTCCCTCCACGCACAATTGACTACACTATAGTAATAAAAATAATTATTAAAGAAAATATACATCAGTGATGTGTAAACTACAAACGTGGACTGTAAAGGGTTAGCTATCATCTGCATAAGTGTATGTCAATTTAAAAAAGTTTATTAGAAAATCACTTACTTTAACAAAGCTCATGCGAATTGTACACATTTTAGTTAACTCGTACACCACCTCAAAACCTTGATTAACAGATTGCGAAAGGAGCTGGGCAAACAGTTGGTTATTAAATATCTTGAGGCTGCAGCCACTCGGGATCTTGCACACAGTGGCCGGATGGAAGCCATGCTGGTAATTACAGTTACGGCTCTGTACAAAAATGCTGCTGTCACTCACACACTCTGCGTAAACCTCTCCACCAACGTAATAGAGATGGACTCCTGACCAACACAAAAGAAACACAAAGATACGCAATCACTTTAATATCACGTCAGCTGAACATATAAACCTTTATACACTATATGTTTTCATTTAATTTTCCAAGTGACTGGTAAGACATTGGCCTTAATTTATTTTGTTTGAATCAGAATGAGAAATAATTCCAATCTGTTAGAAAAAAAAATTAAAAAATATTTAACTAGAAAAACTACCATATGCTTTAATGGTGCCTCCTGTGGATAAATCATTTGAAAAGTTTTTTTCTAACAGATTTGAGTAATTTTTTGATTCTGATTCAAATTAATTAAATCGAGACCACTGTCCCCTGCTATTTTTTTAATAATATAATTATGCCAGCAAGCTGGGTAAAAGAATTGTATGTTTTACCTTTTCCAATGTGCCTCCGTGTGTTTTCTATGGTAGAGTTGCGGTTAACGTTAGAAAGAAGGCCTAAACAGAATCTGTTTTTGTTATTGGAAGGATCTGTGAATCCATCGATGAGTATGCTACGTGACGAGGCTTGGAAGGTCTCCCCCACTCTGTTGTTCAGTTCGTAATATGCAACTGAGCACCAATGCAAAGGTTCTTCATAGCAAACAGGACGGAATTCTGGAGAGAAAAAAACAAAATAGAAGAAAGTATGGATTTTAGTTGTAATGTAACATATTGTTTAAATTGTTATTTTATCCTACCTAATAAAGCTACATATTGTGAGCCAATTAAGGCTGTTTCATTTTATGTTACTATTATTTTTATTTATACATAACAATGAGCAGCAAAGAACCTGGCATCTCTTGATAAAACAGTCAATCCTCCACAAACACACTCATTTAAAGGAACACTGTAGCAGTAGGAATACATATCGCTATTCCTAACGTTATAGTCCTGATGTAGCTGTTTAGTTTATGGCTCCCCCCCAGGTATTAATAAATAAATTAATTAATTAAAATAAAACAAATCACTCACCTTTTCACCAACACCAAGTCTCCCTGAGCACTGCCGTGACCTCCTCCTCGAGTGACGTCATCCAGGATGATGGACTAATCCAATGCTCTTCATAGAGGAGCACCTGGGACCTTAGGCACATGAGTGGCACTCACCGCAATGCACCTAAGGTTCTCCCATACAGAATCATTCAATAGAATCACTGTATGTTACTGTATGAGGCCTGAGAGTAAGATTCCAGGCTCTCATACCTAGAAGGCTTTAAGGTGTGGTTTGAAACTGCACTTCCAAGTCTTTAACTCTCATATTTACTAAAGCCAAATCCGGTCAGAAATCTGAAGGGTGCGCATTTGCAAATTATCATTAACTTGCTTTCGTGCAATAATTACACGTACAATAATTTTAAGTACGCTAGTAGCCAGCTAGCAAATTTATTTATTTATAAAATATTATTTATTTATAAAATATTTTACCAGGAAAGATACATTGAGATTTCTCTCATTTTCAAGTATGTCCTGGGTAAATATACCTCGGCAATGCAAAGGGCACTTATGTGGCAGCTGGCAAGCAGGTTGAGAGACAGCTGCCACATTAAAACTAATACCTGTAAATAAAATTATACTTACCCATCTGAAGTCTTCTAATTCTTCTTATCTTCAGCCTCAAAAAAGGCCAAATAAAAAGCCATAAATTCTGAAAAAAAACTAAAAAAAAAAAAAAAATACACAATGCAATTGAAAGATAAGCTATTTATATAAACAGCAAATATTACTTTATTTACCTCTGTTCAATGATGATAAAACTAGCTGGCAATCAGAGGACTCCACTGTCTGCCTGTTTTGGTTTCCATGAACCTCTGGGGCATTGTATGGTGGAGGTGGCGTGTCTGTAGACAAAGAAAGATTTTTATTATTATTATTTTTGTTTGTTTTTTCCTTGCAGGAGAATCTCTCCACCTGTATTTGACACAGATCCGCATCCCCCCATTGCCGGTGGGATTTATCCCAACATTCTCATCCTCAGGTTTGTGGGCCCACGGGGATCAAAAGCTTACGCTATACATCTAGGAATCCAGTGATGGGTTTTTTAGAGGCTATTGATACCCTGTGCAATACTTTTTGGGCAAGGTTGGAGTCCTGACAGAACTTTATGTGCCCAGAGATCTCTTCGTATACTACTATCCAGAAGTTTCCCCTAAAAAACGTAGGCAGAGCTGGAGCCTGCATTGGAAACACATGGCCTGCTGGAGCTCTCAAGGTCCCAGTCATTGAACTTCTCTGGGAGAGCACTAGTGGGTTTCAATTCATTACCACCTTCAATATACGGAATCCTACACCTGGAGCATGAAGTCTGGAAGGTTCTGTGTATATGTGGGCTTATCTACCTAGTGACTGGTTGGCAGTAACCATTGGGCTCCTGTGCCTGTGGTCTTTGTGGCTACAGGACTCAGAATCCAGCAACTTTCCTGTAGAGATGCAAGGACCTGATGCCCGTCTTGGCATTAATTGATCCAGAGATACAGCACTCTTGATTGGGACTACTCTACTGCAGATCTCTTCTGAGCCACAGTTCTATGAACCATGATGGTTCTTGGTTCATTCATTTGGTTTTTAAGTTATAATGTATGATAATCTTGAGGTTGTTGCTAGACCAAATGGTCCTCTAATATTTACCTCCTGTTCATTTCAAGAGCTACAGGTTTATTTAGAGAGTCTGTATCTATCTTATTACTAACCAGATGACAACTTACGTTTATCCCAGCGAGCTACTAGCTATTATCGTTAATATTCTTTTCTTTTATGTTTATCTAGTAATCTATCTACATGGGATATTAGCCTAACCATATTTCAATTACTTTGAGTTTGCTATATCTGGTTAATACTCTACATTAAAGCTCAGCTATTAGCCAATTGTGTTTTTTTATCTGAAGCCTTATACATATCCATGCTATTGTTATATTACTTGTTTCACAATATTAGATGTCTTTATTAGATTGTTTTTTTTTTCTTGCTCATATTATAACAAAAATTAGGTTTTATCATCTTACCCGATATTACTCTGTTGCGCTGCCACTTGCATTTCTCAATTGTCTACATATCTTAAACCTCATTAAAATAATGATTGACAACAGAAAAAAAGGCGTCACAAAAAAAAACATTACAGAGTGCGTACACAATTCTAAAACAAAAAAGGACTTAAAACTAATACTTTGCAAACCAGTTTTTCTGCAGAAAAACTCTTTTTTTTCTTGCCAAAATAATATCCAAGGAGAATGAAGTGTTAATTGTATCCAAATATATAATGAGAATTTGTTTTATCTGTCCAGAGCCTTTCATCTACAGGTAACATAACTTTATAACTTCATCAAGTTATATGATATCCATTCATCACTACTGACAGGTCTATGCTATTTTGCTGCCTAACAAATTGTAAATGTTCTACAGAGACTGTACATTGCATGCTACATGTAAAATTTTAGAATGTTATCTTTGTCTTTTGGAACCTAAAACATCATCAGAGCTTGTGAACGTCTTCAGATTACCTGTCTGACATTTGGAACTTAAAAAGGAAACCAACTATAAGTGGCAGAAGTCATAAACTCATCTGAGCAGGGCTTTCTTCACCTGTTGTGTCTGTCAATAATTTTTTTGTCGCCCAATTACTTGTTGTTAAACTATGTAGTTTTTAAAATGTTGTGAACAATGTCGGTGCTATATATGTGCCGGTAATAATAATAAAAATAATAAAGCTTACCCGTGATGTGATATGGACTTCCGGGGTCAGAAGAACTCCTCGGAGAATCTGGGTAACCAACTGTGCTTGGCGAGTGAGGGAATATATTTGGTGAGGAAGAGAATGGAGTACATGTCGGCTGCTGAAAAGACTCTGGGAAGGTCGCATTGTGTGGCATCATTGGCTCGCTGTTAAGGGAAGTGTTGCGGAACTTGGCAAGCAGGCTCAGCTGGGGGTTAAACTCGCTGTGTCTTGGCACAAGGACAGGAGGTAATACTAAAACAATGAAACAGGTTGTAAATAGCATACATGGTTACTATTTAAATAACAAGAGAGCAGACTGAGATACAGTATAATTGAGGAGTGTTGATCAGTTCACACATATTGAAAACTTGGCCTTCCTAGTGATTATGCTATGTAAGGGAGGGTAACAATGATGTAGGGAGACTAGTTTGAAGTCATCAAGAAGTGTAGGTGTATACAGCATGACTGTATATGTGTGTGAATTGTTTGTGTGCATGCGCTATGTTCGTTTCAGTATATTTAGTGTATTTGTGTGTTAGTGTGAGAGGATGGCTGGAAGTGTGTGTAGATTCAGTGAATGTTTTTGTGTAACGGCCATTTGAGTCCTTAATTTACCTTAATTTATCATATCTCCCTGCAGACCTCTTTTCCTCTTTTTATGAATTTGTAATTGAAAAAAAGGCTTGGCTTGGCACTAGCAGTAACAATGGACTACATCAATGGACCCAAATTACATCTATCCTAATAGCTCAGTGACCCATTCTTCAGTCGGAAATATTCTATAACAAAATATATTTTACAAAATACCTTGTAAAAGGCATATGCCCAGGGCCGGCCTTAGGGGTGTGCGAGCTGTGCGACCGCACAGGGCGCCATGGAACAGGGGGCGCCCTGTGGCCGACACAGCTCACTCATGGCCGGAGTGCAGGGGAGCTAAAAGAGGTACCTGGCTGGAGGATTAATTATTCTCCACCCGGGTCTATTTAAAAAAAAAAAAAATCGCGGCAGAGGGGGCGGGGTTTACCGAGCGGCGGAGGCGGGGCTTATCGAGAGGCGGAGACGGGGCTAATACCTCCCGAAGCCCCTGCTGTACAGGAAGAGGGAAAGATGCTTCCCCATCAGCCAACTGCATCCACTGGAAAGAGGTAAGTGTGTGTGTGTGACTGTTTGCCTGTTTGTGTGACTGTCTGTGTGTGTGTGTGTGACTGTCTGTGTGACTGCCTGCCTGTGTGCGTGTGTGTGTGTGTGTGTGACTGTCTGTGTGACTGCCTGTCCTTGTGTGTGTGTGTGTGTGTGACTGTCTGTGTGACTGCCTGTCCTTGTGTGTGTGTGTGTGACTGTCTGTCTCTGTGTGTGTGTGTGACTGTCTCTGTGTGTGACTGCCTGCCTGTGTGTGACTGTCTGTGTGTGTGACTGTCTGTCTGTGTGACTGCCCATGTATGTGACTGCCCATGTATGTGACTGCCTGTGTGTGTGACTGTCTGTCTGTGTGACTGTCTGTCTGTGTGACTGTCTGTCTGTGTGACTGCCCGTGTGTGTGACTGCCTGTGTGTGTGAGACTGTCTGTCTGTGTGACTGTCTGTGTGTGTGACTGTCTGTCTGTGTGTGTGACTGCCTGTGTGTGTGACTGCCTGTATGTGACTGCCTGCCTGCCTGTGTGTGTCTGTCTGTAACTATCTGTCTGTGTGTGACTGCCTGCCTGTGTGTGTGACTTTCTATCTGTGTGACTGCCTGCCTGTGTGTGTATAACTGTCTATGTGTGTGTTACTGTGTGTCTGTCTGTGTGTGTGACTGCCTATGTGACTGTCTGTGTGTGTCGCTGTGCCATTGTTTGTGCCTGTGCCTGTGCCTGTATGTGTGACTGCCTTTAACTGAGTGTGTGTGTACATGCCTGTAACCGAGTTTAAATTTCCCCCACCCCTTCCTGTCAAGGCCGCACTTTGACTGACAGACGCTCACTCACTGACAGACGCACACTCACTGACAGACACACACTCTCATATACACTGACAAACAATGACATACACACATACACTATTACTTGGACACACACTGACAGATGCACACTCTCACTGACAGACGCAAGCACTCACTGAAAGATGCACGACTCCACTGACCGACACATACACACCGACTGACACACACTCACTGACTGACACACACTCACTGACCGACACACACTCACTGACCGACACATACACACTCACTGACCTACACACTCACTGACCTACACACTCACTGACCGACACACACTCACTGACGACACATACACACTCACTGACGACACATACACACTCACTGACTGACACATACACACTCACTGACTGACACATACACACTCACTGACTGACACATATACACTCACTGACCAACACACACATTCACTCACAGACACACACACATTCACTTACAGACACACACAATTACACACTTACAGACACACACACACACACACACATTCACTTCAAAATAAACACTCACAGACACACACACAGACATTTCCACTAACACTCACAAACTAATATTTTTTACATTTATTTTAAATCCACCCAGCCTCCCTGGGAAAGCTGGAGTGGATTTCTTACCAGCAGTCCAGTGTGGCTGCTGGGCAGGCAGGCAGGGGGCGCACAGGCTGAGTAAGCAGTGCTTAGTGATGCCGGGAGCCGGACTGACGTCATATTCTGGCTCCCGGCTTCATTAAGCGGCGCAGAGGAAGCTGAGCAGGAAGAGCTCAGGTGAGTATGCTCCTTCGCTGCCCGCTGCCAGCCTTGGGGGGGCTCAAAAGTGGCCAGCCGGTCAGCTCTTGAGCCCCCCAGGATGCGAGGCAAGCAAGGGATCTGCCTGGGGGTTTGGAGGGATGCTTTTTTTTGCCGCCCCCTGCAAAGTGGCGCCCAAGGCAGATGCCTTGTTTGCCTCGTGATACACACGTCCCCGGTGCCTGTGTGTGTTACTGTATTCAGGCAACTTGGTGGGAGGTGGGGGGGGGCGCCGTGAAGACTTTTTGCACAGGGCGCCTAATTGCCTAAGGCCGGCCCTGCATATGCCAATGCACCGGGAACAACAGGGCTGCCATAGAAAATATATATATTGTGTGGCTTCTTAGCAATCTAATGTGCCTGTTCTATCTATTTGGGGCCCAGTGGAATAGCATGGAGACCAAATATGGTTGTAACCCAAAATCAGTGACTACACACCAGAAAGATAAGAAATAGAGAATTAATAGAAGCAATGTCATTTATATATTTCAGGCATATTTAATAGAATAACATATAATTAAAAAATAGGTGGGCACTCTGTGTGTCAAACTCACACACATAATCAAGGAAAATGCCTTCCTTTGTTAGCAGTAAAAACATCTCTTAGTAACAATAGCAGCAGGGCCAGACTGGCCCACCGGGATACCGGGAAATTTCCCGGTGGGCCGTCGGCACCTGGGGCCAGGCAGCCAGCTGGCGCACCTGCGGCCACAGAGGGAGCTCCTTTGGCGGCTGCAGGGGGAGCTGGCTGTTGTGTCCCTGCTCCCCCTCCCCAGCGCGCTACAAAGAGACCGGGGCCGGAAATATGACGTCATATTCCGGCCCCGGTCTCTTTCTAGCGCGCAGGGGAGGGGGAGCAGAGACACAACAGCCAGCTCCCCCTGCGGCTGCAAGAACAGCCAGCAAACCCTGCGGCCGCCAAAGGAGCTCCCCACAGGTAGAAATTGTGTATGTGTGTGTGTGTCTGTGTCATTTGTGTGTGTGTCTGTCTGTCTTGGTGTGTGTGTGTCTGTCTATGTCATTGTTTGTGTCTCTTAGTCATGGTGTGTGTGTCACTGTCTGTCATGGTGTGTGTGTGTGTGTGTCTGTGTGTCACGGTCTCTCTGTGTCGTGGTGTGTGTGTGTGTGTGTCTGTGTGTCACGGTCTCTCTGTGTCGTGGTGTGTGTGTGTGTCACGGTCTGTCTGTGTTATGGTGTGTGTGTGTGTCAAGGTGTGTGTGTGTGTCATGGTGTGTGTGTGTCTGTCTGTGTCATGGTGTGTCTGTCTGTCATGGTGTGTGTGTGTGTTTCTGTCTGTGTCACGGTGTGTGTCTGTCATGGTATGTGTGTGTGTATGTGTGTTTTTACTCACCTTTTTTTTTTTCTTCCCCACGTCATGCTGGTCTCCCCTCGCCTGGCCCTGCCTCTACGGCTGAGATCATCAAGCTTAATGATGTGAGCTTGTGTTTTTATGTCAATAACCTTATGTATGAGGCTGTGTATCAATCAGCTTGTGTCAGTGAGATTGTCTGTGTATGCATGTGAGGATAGATAGATAGATAGATAATAGACGAAAGCTTGAGGGGATCAAGCTGAAACGTTGACCTTGTGTTGTTTTAGTGGAGGTTATAAAAATTATATTTTATATTAGTCCTTGGAGTGCTATCTCTGGCAATATTTTTTGCATTTTTGGCTGACAAGCACCGGGTATTGAATATTGAATTGGTGGAGTGCAAGATCAGTTTTTTATATATATATATATCTCAATCATCTAGAGTTGCAAGACATAGCCTTACATATTACATGCGACAATATATGGCGCAATGACTTATGGGGCTGGCATAGATTTTTTTTCCAGGGCTGCTTTGGAATCCCCAGTCCGGCCCTGAATAGCAGTATTATGTTCGCTCAAAAAAAACTAACTAATAACTAAATACATTCACCAAAATGTTTATCTTCTGAAGCCAAAGTTGTTATGTTATAAAACAAAATATAGTCAACTGGTACTTTGTATATCTTTCATAATTCATCTGTTAAACTAACAGCAAGTTAGTAAAATGTATTAAAGATAATTTAGTTCACTTAGAACCCAGTTCAAGCAAAAAATTAACAAACTATGTGGTAAATTACACTATCATTTGGCAACTGTCATCACGTTAACCCCTTAAGGACACATGACATGTGTGGCATGTCATGATTCCCTTTTACTCCAGAAGTTTGGTCCTTAAGGGGTTAAAGGGGTTTTCCAACTTTTCTTTTTGCATATAGCTTTTTATTTAATGAATAATGTCCTATTGGGAATAATTTTTTAGTGCCAACCCCTCTCCAGTAACTATTTAAAAAAGGATTTACTTATCTGGAATTCAGCACCAGGAGACCGTATTGGCGCATTTTTACACACACCCTCATGGTATCATGGGAGCCACAAGAGGTCCAATCAAAGGCTTCTCATAGAGAAGCCTGTGATTTGACCATTTAGCCATCTCACAGCACATGCTCAAGGGGAGGGGGAGTGAGGTGGGAAAGTGGCAGGAACGTGGGTTGTAAATTGGTTCAGAATTTTGTTTGGTTCCGAATTTCAACAATTGCCTCCATCCTTAAGAGGTTAAGGCTCAAGTTACCATGAGAATGGGGCATGTTTGTTTATTGTGAATACTCCGTTACCATCTCTGTGTTTTCATATTAATAAAACTATGTATGCCTGATACGTTATTTGAAATTTCTGTTTTGATAAATGAACAAATCTGTACAAATGAAGGACAAAGATAATATAATAATACATTTTTATTTTACCTGGAGTTTCAACTCTGCGGTAATGGTATGGATTTATACACACATCCTTCTGCTTTGATCCAAATGGAAACTCACAGCATTCAAGTGGTTTTAACTCATGATGGGATTGTAAGTCAGGCCATCGCCAAACCCTGCAGTAAATGACATGCGGAAGACCCTTGCGGTGTGATACTTGTAGCCTTCCATCTAAAGAACGAGGGATTGTGACACATTTACTGGCTTGCCCCGGGGTGCTTAAAGCCCTTTCTAACTCTTCCATGGCACCCTTCTTCTTCTTCAATTTCTTCACCAGAGAGTCGACTGCCTTTTCTGCCCATTTTTCCTCCTCGTCTCCTTGTTTCCAGCCAAGCAGTCTCTTCACTGCCGGGCTAGTAAAGGAGAACAAGGAACTTATGGGTGTGCTGGAGTGCATAGGATTCGACTTCTGCCCCCGAAAGGTGACAGATATGTAGGACAAGAGAAATTGATGCTTCCACCGTCTTTTCAATTTACTGTTTCTGGGAATTGAGTCGGGGTCTACTTTTTGGATGTCTTCGAATGTCCTGATTAGACCTAGAGCAAACATACCTCATTAGATATGTAACATGTAGTATGGGTGCAATAACTTAAAAGGACACTCTAAGCATCTTCACATAGTCAACATAATGGGGGGTGGGGGGATAGGTGAACTATAAAAGTTAAATATCATGTAAAATATCTAAATTGCTTCCACAAAGAGGTGACTAAAGTCTAAAAGATGCAAAATAGATAATAAAGCTAGTACAAAAAAATTACAAATGATAATTTTAAAAATTGTCCAGCACCAATAACTCTTATACCAATAAGCATGTATTATTTTGAGTCATATAATATTAATTAGCAATAGGTACTAATTAACACATTAGGCTGCTAGAGCCCCAACAGTCCATGCCAGAAAGAAAGTCCACAAAACAGTAAAATATATACACTAGATATGATATAAACACCTGGGTGGCAGTGGTATCTGTGGAATGGCAATCCAGATATCTAGCATTTAGGTACACTATAGGCACCTAAACCACTTCAGCTCGTTGAAGTGACATGGGTGCACTGTACCTGTCCCATTAAGTCCTGCAATGTAATACATTACAGTTTTAAAACAACTGCAATGTCCACTAGAGGCGCTTCAGGGAGTTTACCGTACTTAGCTCATAATGAGCTTGCGGCGCTGTGCATTTGCATTAGGACCCCGCTCACCTATCCATCAGATGATGTCAGAGGTGGCGGAGCTCCAACCCAGTGCCAAGTGACTTCAGCACTGGAATCGTGTAAGTAAATAAAGGTTTTTTATTTCACCCTTTATTCACTGGAGGGAAGGGGCACAGGGGAGGGGGAAAGACCAGAGGGCTGATTTGTATTTGTAATACCAGATTTGTATTCCTAACACTATGGAATCCCTTTAACAAGGTATGTATTCACCAAACTGGAAAAAGTCTCACTCCCACCCTTTAATTTCCACTAATACAACACAAGGACGGTCAAGTTTGTGTGTGCCTGTGAAATCTCTGTGATTTTGTCAGTTTAAAAAACGGTTTGCAAATACCAGAAAGACGTCACCCTTTGTCTCCTAGAACCATGAACACTACAATAAGCTGTAGTATTTATGGTGCCTGAAGGGTCCCTTTAAATTAAATGTACATTTTCTTTATCATGGCTAAAACGTGCTAAACTTTGGATTAATTAAAGATAATTATTATATTTATAATGTGTAGAAAAAGTCTTAAATCTTTAATTTTAATTTTAGGGCAACATTACAGACAGTGAATAGGCTAAATGCATAGGGTTCCAAAAATAGCCCTATACATAGTATGAACACACAGACATTCTCGTTCACAAAGCATGACTTGTTTTGCAAGCAGACATGCAAGTATTTACAGATAAGACACTACGTGACTGTGGGTCAGGATATATTTCTGGCAATATATTATGGTGTTTTGCCTTAGCAGGGACGAGTAAAGGGCATTTATCTCTTTCAGTCAAATGAAATAGCTCGCCGCTGACATCAGTATGAAGCAGATCACAATTGTTGTCAATGGGAAGAGAGCCAAGGGTGTAAATTAGGGATAATGCAATGGCGTGCACATTCTGGGATATCAATAGAGATAGAACTATTTTGCAGTTTTTCACAATGTGTGTCTTATAAAAACATGATAAATGTATGGAGTAAGTAGCCCAGAGCACAAAAGATCCACATAAAGCATTTCAAAATGATTCTATTAATTGAAAACACACTTTATTCTTTCTCTGTTTCTTAATTCCTTGGCTATTCTTCTCAATTATATACATCTGAATATATGTGAATCTTGCTAAGAAAAATAAATACAAGATGTACATCGGAGGAGCTATATACTAAACAGTGACTTGTGATGAATAGAAGTAAATTTACAGAATTTAGGACAAATGAAAACATTCATTTCAAGATTGACAAATTTAACACAAATTTAGCAAGCTTTTTTTTTTTTTAAATTAACAGCTATTCACTGTTTATTGAATAGACATGTGATTGCTGTGTGCTGTGACAAATATATCTATTAGCCAATGCAGCACCACTTACAAAGGTTATGAATGACAAATTATTGAAACTACGCAGCGGCGGAACTACTGCCGGTGTATCTGTTTCATGGCCCACAAGCTGTGGACCCATCTGGTGGCCCACGCACCTAGGGCCACCCGATGGGCATGTCTGATCAGGGATCTGGTCGGTTGCCACATGCCTTAAACAGCACGACCAGGTTCCTGTCAGATCAGCAGTTCGGAGAATCAGTGTGTATGTATTTGTGTCAGTGTGTGTCATTGTATGTGTATATATGCATAATCTCAGCATTCAAACTCCAAAAATGTAAAATAAAAGATGAGAAGGTTTCTACCTTTCTTGCATACATTTCCCAATAAATCTGAAAGGAGACCAATAAAATATACAGAAATAATGAACACACTGGTATAGTACATGAAGCCAACAGAAGCTGAAATCGCTATACTATTTATCAGCTATTCTGGCTACTAATTGCAAAATAGATACTCTAACCATTTTAAAAATAACCTTACACTAGAAATGTGTGCAGTTGTGTCTAGTGAAACACAAAAGGTTCCCAGCTTATACCATCACGTCTTTCAGAACACAGCAATCAGGTCCTATAAACATTACTCAATATAAACTCTGCTTAGTGCCAAACCCAACAAAAACACTAACCGATTAAAACAGCTGCGACATAACACAAAGCTTATTGTCAATCAGTGAAACACTGTGTATGCTGTAATCTAGACAAACTAGTTGAGCAAATGTTCACAGTGGATAAACTCCACAGTCCAATGAATTCTTTGATATACTAAGCACTCGTGATAAAACTATAAGCGATGGTTACAGGTTTTCCATGATAACTTTTATTTTGTTTGAGTGAACATATTGTTTATATACATCAGAATGAACTCTAATTTCAAGTAATGTCTTCATTAGTTAAAAGGACACTATAGATATCAAAACAACTTTAGCTTAATGAAGCAGTTTTGGTGTTATTGAATTATGCCCCTGCAGTTTCACTGTTCAATTCTCTGCCATTTGGTAGTAAAATAACTTTTGTTTCTGTTAAAGGACCACTATAGGCACCCAGACCACTTCAGCGTAATGAAGTGGTCTGGGTGCCAGGTCCAGCTAGGGTTAACCCTTTCTGCTGTAAACATAGCAGTTTCAGAGAAACTGCTATGTTTACCTATGGGTTTATACAGCCTCTAGTGGCTGTCTCACTGACAGCCGCTAGAGGGCTTCCGCGCTTCTCACTGTGATTTTCATAGTGAGAAGACGCCAGTGTCCATAGGAAAGCATTGAGAATGCTTTCCTATGGACTGGCTGAATGCCGCAAGGCTCCTGCCGGGCATGTACATTCAGCCGAGGAGGAGGAGAGGAGGAGGAAAGTCCCCCGCCCGGCGCTGGAGAAAGAGGTAAGTTTAACCCCTTCCACCCCCTAGAGCTTGGCAGGAGGGGGACCCTGAGGGTGGGGGCAACATACTTGTTTTCCTGGCACTATAGTGGTCCTTTAATGCAGCCCTAGCCACACCTCCCCTGGCTGTGATTGACACAGCCTGCATGAAAAAATTGTTTCATTTTCATTAGTTCTTTACTTACTTAAGTCTTAACTATGTAAATAAATATTAAATCACACACAGGAGGCTGGTGCAGGTTCTAGAATGGTATTAACAGTGCAGGAGATAATAAATTCTAAATTAAACAGATTGTGCAATAAAGGAAGATCTCTCTTTTCATTAAGTATTTAGGAAGGTTGTGTAAGTCACATACAGTAAAGTGTGGTTTGGATTGCATAAACAAGGAGATGTATCTCCTAAATGGCGAGAAATTGAGACGGCGGGGGCATAATCTATACACCAAAACTGCTTCATTAAAGGACCACTATAGTGCCAGGAAAACATACTCATTTTCCTGGCACTATAGTGCTCTGAGGGTGCCCCCACCCTCAGGGACCCCCTCCCGCCCGGCTCTGGAAAGGGGAAAGGGGTTAAAACTTACCTTTTTCCAGTGCTGGGCGGGGAGCTCTCTGCCTCCGATCCTCCTCCATTCCGCCCCATCGGCTGAATGTGCACGCGCGCGCATTTAGCCGTTCGCATAGGAAAGCATTCTTAATGCTTTCCTATGGACGCTTGTGTGCTCTCACTGTGATTTTCACAGTGAGAATCACGCAAGCGCCTCTAGCAGCTGTCAATGAGACAGCCGCTAGAGGATTTGGGGGAAGGCTTAACCCATTGATAAACATAGCAGTTTCTCTGAAACTGCTACGTTTATTAAAAAAAATGGGTTAGCCCTAGCTGGACCTGGCACCCAGACCACTTCATTAAGCTGAAGTGGTCTGGGTGCCTAGAGTGGTCCTTTAAGCTAAAGTTGTTTTGGTTCCTATAATGTCCCTTTAACTTTTTACCAGCTTCTATAAAATTGTCATACAGTGGCTAACACAAGTAAGTCTGATATATATATATAAAAAGGGCAGAGTATAGGATATTTGATACCCTACTAACCTCAACATCTGAGGAAAGAGATTAAGGAGTAATTATTTCAGATGACTTAAAGGTAGGAAGACAATGTAACAGAGCAGCTGGAAATGCTAGCTGAATGCTTGGTTGTATAGGGAGAGGTATTGGCAGTAGAAAGAGGGAAGTGATCATGCCATTGTACAGAACACTGGTGAGACATCACTTGGAGTATTGTACGCAGTACTGGAGACCGTATCTTCAGAAGGATATTGGTACTCTAGAAAGAGTTCAAAGAAGGGCTACTAAGTTGGTTCATGGATTGCAGGATAAAACTTACCAGGAAAGGTTAAAGGATCTTAACATGTATAGCTTGGAGGAAAGACGAGACAGGGGGGACATGATAGAAACATTTAAATACATAAAGGGAATCAACACAGTAAAGGAGGAGATTATTTTTAAAAGAAGAAAAACTACCACAACAAGTGGACATAGTCTTAAATAAGAGGGGCAAAGGTTTAAAAATAATATCAGGAAGTATTACTTTACCAAGAGGGTTGTGTATGCATGGAATAGCCTTCCAGCTGAAGTGGTAGAGGTTAACACAGTAAAGGAGTTTAAGCATGCGTGGGATAGGCATGCGGCTATCCTAACTATAAGATAAGGCCAGGGACTTATTAAATGTATTTCGAAATATTGGGCAGACTAGATGGGCCGAATGGTTCTTATCTGCCGTCACATTCTATGTTTCTATATAAAGTGAATCTGTCATTCTCAAATTACGTGGATGGCAATTTTATTTTCCGGTTGGTACACCACTTGTCCATAAGAAATCACTAGCAATCATATAAATTAGATTGAAAGATATACTAAAGTGTGCTTTCACTTCCTCCAACATTAAATCTTCAAAAAGGTGAACAACCTACCATCTCTCAAATGACAATATGGACACCCCTCAAACCCGTGCATGCAGGTGCAAGTTAGAAGTTGGGAGATCATGCTTTGTCACTATAGAGCAGTGTAGCTGTAAACCTCAGCCCCACGCAGCGCTCTGTCTACGGAAACTCCAAGGAAAACAAAAAAATAATAATGTTGAATAACGTCTCATCTATACACTAGCACAAAAAACAGAGGAAAGTCCCGTGTGCTGTATGAATTAACTCCAAGCAACATAACCCCTAGATCTCATTGTTAACTCTTTTGGCATCAAATTGGCACAGGCTACTGCGTCAGAGTAAGCCTTTGTCATTTACCTTAATTTGTTTTGTTTTTTTAAAGTCTTGGAAGTGCTGACCTCCAAAGGTGACCTTGGAACTGATTCAGTGTGAAACAGGAAGGTGATCAGAAAAGATTGTTCTTAGAAGAAGAGGATTTTAGAAAAATGGATCTTGTCTAGCCACTGGTTCTTACGCAGACAAACGTTAGATGACGTGATTTTGAGATGAAAGAAATTGAGGATTGTAATGAAATGCAATGTCTACCCAGGGACTAGTGCGCTTACCTGACAGTCGGTCAATTAAGAATCTGCTCACTGCTGGAGACACTGCTTTTTATAAGAATGAGCCATTCATTGTTAATGAAGAGCTGGTTAACCCTTAAGGATCAATGATACTTTAGGTGGTCGTAACAAATCCTTGCCATCCTTGAAACTTTGAACTTTGATGTCATTGATCTAGTTTGCAATGTTGTAGCTGCTCTGATTATTGCACATTTTTGTAGTTACGAACTAAACTGTGCAGGGAGGCATGGAGCAGTAAACTCTCCTCACCATAATCTGTGCAATGATGTAAAGTGGTTATGGTCCTTAGTGTGGCAATTTTAAAGGGTTACTCCAGGTATCATAACTACTAAAGCTTGCTGTAGTGGTTATAATGCTAGAAGTACCGTATCGCTGCTCCTCACTATTGGAGACACTATCGGTGACAATGCCAGAACTGGAGTTACACTTTCAGTAACAAAGGGGTAAACTCAGTATGTGCAGTGTAACATAATGAAACACTGTACATACAGAATCCTGGCACCATAACCACTTCAAATCACTGAAGAGATCATGGTGACTAAAGTAAGACTTTAAAGAAAGCTAAGAAACAGAGGAATTGTATTTCCTCACCAGCTACTTTTTGGCAGGCCTTGACCTGGAATTAAAAGATTCTACTAAATGGACTGTCTTTCTCCAGAATTCCTATTTACAGTGTACAGGAGAACAATTCAATAACATCTAGTACTGACCCTTAGAAAGAAAAGGTAATAAGTAATAAGTGTAAGCTGTTATTTAAAAAAAATTGGTACATTAAATAGGCAAATCAGTTGTCAATTTATATGTTTGACTGGTTTCAAAGACTGATCAATTCTAATTATAAATATATAAGGATTTATTATAAGCAGAGTCAATAAAATAATCTTACAAACATCTGTCTATTACAATAACTTCTTATAGTGAAGAACAGGAAGTCAGTTATTTTGTCCTAATTTTTAATGGATAGAAAGGAGGATGGCATGCACAGTGATGCGCCATTTGGAAGACCAGCTTTTGCTACACAGTCCGGATGGCCAATACACCAAATATATTTAGAGGAATGAACCAGGCACACAAGACTTCTGAAATTCAAGGAACTTTATAAAGAAAAGCATGCCTTTCCAATGCATGAATAAAGTTCATTGAATTTTACACGCCTCGAATACCTGGTCCAACGGCGGAAAAATAGGGGTTGTGAGTGCGATCGGAGCCTCTGCTTTCCACCTGTCACAGGGGGCTCAGGAGGTGGCCGGCCGGCTATGTTATGGCCGCCTGAGGTGGCATATATACACTAAGGAAGGAAGAGTAGGCCCCTGTATAGCCAGACAGCAGCTGCCTGCTTTGCCCATATATAATGCATCCTAAGTGGGAGTAAGGAGGCTTGGCGAGGGAACACTGATGTTCCTGCTCTTCTACATAGCTCCATCGTGGTGATGCTGGGAGATGACGTCACTCCAGCCCAGCATTACAAAATGACACGAGAGGGAGCAGTAAGGAAGGAATTAAAACAGTCACTCTGGATCACATGTACAGGATCTCCACTGGAACCTATGGAGAGAACCCACACCAGTTCTCCTAAAGGTATGTAGGCTGGGTGGACCTAAAGAAGGAAACAAACACTATAAATAAAGTTAATTTGTGAGTGCGTGTGTCAAACCAGTGGAGGTGCCAGCCAAATGAATTGGCAGGTTAGACTGGCATCAAGTAGGCGAGCCTACAGTGAGCAGGCCGTGTTGAGAGAGCTCTCTACATGGTCCTAGTGTCCTGAGTGTAGCACTTTTTGGGGACAATTCCCTGGTATGGCGGTAAGAATAGCTAAATTCTAATCTGTCCATTGTATATTTACAAGCAATTTTGGCCAGAAAATTATATACATGAAATTACTATGAATATTGTCACAGATTGCTTGTAAAGAGTTAAGTGTTTATCTTTCCATTGTAAAAGAAGGCGACAGCTAGTTGGAACAGCTGTATCAGATTTCCCAGACTGCAGCAGTTTCACAACCTGAAAATGTTTTAGTGATGGCATCAATGTAAAGGTACAGACAGTGACTCATTTGTTTGTTGTGTCAAAAGCATTTTCATTCACCAAAATAGTATTCTATGGCTTTCTAATCATATATGTGTCAGCATATAACAGCTCTTTACAAGTTTACAATGGGGATATAAAACTGCAAATAACTGACAAATTTAAAGGGAACTGTCATTTTCCAGGATTATACTATGTTTATTTAACCCTATATTTAACAAATGTGCATTTGTGAGGTGTGGAAAATAAAGCTAAGTATGGAAAAAATTAACACCTTTCTGTACTGCAACTGGGCGCCTCCATTTTAGTTGCCTGTCGATCATTGTTATAAGCTCTGTCTTTTGCATCTGGCAATCAGCATAAGGAAAACATATATCAAAAAAATGTTTTTCCTCCTTGTTTGCATTGTCTGCCTTGGCTGTGCCTGAACTAAACTGGATTGTGATGGCAATCACTAAACCTTTAATTTAAATTTTAAAAGAAAAAGTAGCATCACATAAAAAAAAAGTTAACATGAGTTACAAGTGATTATCAATGCTTTTTTCAATGGTGTAATCTCTTGGGAATTGGTAGTGCCCCTTTAATGTGAGTAGAAAGTAAATGTTTCGAGAAGATCCTTGCTTTTAAAAACCATTTCCTTCCAGACTACAGAATTCCTAGAAGTGCTAAATGTAGGAGTAAAAGCCAATAACGCGTCATAGAATTCTTAAATGAATAATCACTGTATAATTCTTACATTAAGACATCCAAGTTGCCACTATGATGCTGTTGGCATTATACGTCACATAATGTTAAATGCATAAATGATAATGGAAGCCAAAAGAGCTGATGAGTTTACCAAGGGAGGCAGTATAGATAGAGAACAGTAGGGGGCCAAGGACAGAACCTTGGGGGACGCCGACAGAGAGGGGTTGGGTAGAAGAGGCAGAGCCAGAGAAAGAAACACTGAAAGAGCGCTGGGAGAGGTAGGAGGAGCATCAGGAGAGAGAAGTATCCCGTAGACCAAAGTTATGGAGAATGTGCATAAAGCGTAGCATAAATTTATAGTGGACAAAGTCAGATGCAAAGTGAGACTTTCTCCAGCAGCATTCAGCAGTTCTGGAACATTTTTGGAGGTAACGGGTCAGCTTGGTGTGCCAGGGTTGTAGTTGGGGGCGCTTGCTGCGTTTAACTGTAGGAGGTGCCATGATGTCAAGTTGAGAGGAGAGAGTGGAGTTGTAGAGTGAGGTTGCAGAGTTAGGGCAGTTGAGATTTGAGATGGGTAAAAGGAGTGTTTGGAGTTTGGTAGAGAAGTGCTGGAGATCGAGGGAGTTGAGGTTTCTGCAAGGTTGGAGAGTTGATGGTGGTGAAATTTTGGTATGGGGTATGCAGATGTATATAAATGATTAATGCTACTGATCTGGATCTACTTCACTGAGTTGGTTCTTATTTATGTGCAGGTGCAGTGACATTAACCATCGCCCTCCTGGAAGGTGACAGCAGCCATACAGCTATACAGTCCCATCAGACACATAAATCATGTAGTTCGTCACCAGTCTGGCCCACAAAGCAGCCTCCCTGCGTCATATGGAGCTATTTGTATAGAAAGAAGTGATGCAGTCTTGGTCAGAGATTAGCTACAAGAAACCCTGGACAGCTCCTCCTTCCCCTCTCTCTCCTGATCACAATACTGGCGTCAGTTTGTCTCCTCTACCCTGTCCCTCCCTCCCTTCCCTAATGCAAATAACTATCACACTGTAAAACTGAGAATGTCCCCTGCAATCTCCCCATAGCCCCAATTCGGTTACAATAACCTTGCTTAACCCATTCACAGCCACAGTGTACCCAATGCATTATTTGCTGTCACCTGCAAAAAGGATACCTTTAAGTTACAAAATAAAATATATTAACCTTACGACCACACCCCCATAGAGAAATATCAGATCTACAAACCACACATAAAAAGAACTCCAAATGCCGTGGACTGCATGCTTCCAGCAATGGGAGTTGTAATCCTTCAAGATCACAGGAAGCAATCAAGTACATAGCCACTGCAGTTATCCATTTAGCTTTGACCTATAAATAAGTTGTGATGAGTTCTCCAATTTTTGAAACGCCATCTGCACATCAATGCAACTCCCATCACACCCAGTAGCTGGTGGCTGTACACGGCAGGCCAAGCCAGACACTTTAATCTACTATGAGGATCAGTGAGCTGTCCACTCCTGTCACTTGTCAGTATCACTTTATCAAACTTAATTTAAAAAAAAATGATATTCTCCTACAGAAAGCATAGAGGTCAAACTATGAATAATGGAAATTATAAAAGCTGTAAGTCTGGGCCTGACCTTAGGTGACCAATGCCATGCCACACAAAAGGTGATCAAGGCTTCTGTGCCAGCTGGAACCCTAAGGGTTAACCGTGGAACCTTTAGAATCCTGTAGCTGCTACATTGTTCCCAACGTTCTAATGAGCGTTGAATGCTGATCAGAGCCTGCTATAGGGAGATCTATATTTAGGAAGAGGGTGCAGACATAACAGAACAGCTCCATGACCCAGTAATGAGCACTATCAGTGTCCACCAGCCTCAGATGAGGTCATTGTGCTCAGTAAAAGCACAGTCTGCGCCCTACCCTCCCGCAGTGGGAGTGAGCAGGCACAGGGAAAAGTTTGATAACATTAAAAAAATATATTTTAAATAAATATATAAATGTATTTTAATGAAAATGAGTGTCCAGGACTTACCTGTGTTTTGGCTTCGGCCCTTAATGTGTGGACGGGTGCTGGTCCCCCCTGGCTGCTGTATGTATGTGAAGGAGTCAGGGCTGCAGAGGGAGGTGCAGCGGCAACAACACAGGCACAGGACAAGGCGTCAGTCAGGCTGGAGCCGCACAGCCAGCTCTGTCAGGGAGTATTACTGCGCAGAGCTGGAACTGGCCCAGGACACGTCTCCCACACACACACACACAGACATACACACACAGACACACCCCCACCCTGCTGTGAGGGTCCTGGGACTCCTGTCTCACTCCGCTGCTGGGGTAATGCTAGTGTTGAGGGGGTCATTAAAAACTGCAGGAGGAGAGACAGTGAAATATAGATTGCCCTCCATGGATATACCCTCCAAAATTCTAAATATTAGGACAGACAGGACTCTGCTTGCTTTTCAAGAGCAGTAAAATTATTACACTTTTAGGAGGGAAAAAAAAACGTAAATAAAAAAAATGGGGTCAATGTGTTTGGCTTATCCAATTAATTATACACTTGCAAGTGGTCTGTAATGTACACGGGTTGTAAAGACACTTAACAGAAAGTGGTTGTTTAATTCTGGGATATATGTCTTGTTTAAGAGATCTTTATGAATGGATATTTAATAATACATTGTGTAGCCAGAGAAAATTAATTACCCTCTAAATGTTAATTAAAAATTAGAACTATAATTGCACTTTGTACATTAGACTCATAGTGATTGCAGTTTCACAACTAAAAGAAACAAGTGCTTAATAAATGGATACACTCCTTCACCTTGTGAGAACCATCTGCTTAAGAATTTTCTATGGAAAGAATACTTATAATGTCTACACATGCCACAACATTAAAACTACATGGCCAATGTCATGTAGGTGAACCTCATCTTACCAAAACAGCTCTGATGCATCAAGGCATGTACTTCACAATACCTCTGAACATGTTCTATGGTATCTGGGATGGAAGGTGGTTTGCGAGGGAGGGGAGACCATAGTGCAATACAACTTAGTATTCCTTTAAGTTTCTCAGCTATTTGTGCTACAGTAGCTCTTCAGTTTGATTGGAGCAGATGGGACAGCTTTCGCTGTCTTTGGTGGCCGTGACCCTGACGCAGATTCACCAGTTGTCCTTCCTTGCACCATCAGTTAGGTACTAACCACTGGGAGCACCACGCAAGACTTGCTGTTTTGGAGATTTGTTGACTCCGTTGTCTAGTCATCACTAATTTGGCCCTTGTTAAAGTCACTCTGATCTTTTCGTTTGCCCATTTTACCTTATTCCAACACATGAAATTCAAGAACTGACGGTTAACTTACTGCCTAATATATTCCACCCGTTAATAGGTGCCATTGTAATAACATAATCAATATTATTTGCTTCACTTGTCATTGTTTTTAATGTTGTGGCTGATCAGTGTATAACAATCAGACCACAGGTCTATTGCAGTCAACAGTAAGTCAGGACCGAATCAATCATTATAGAATACCGTATTATTATTATTATTTAGTTTTTTTGTTTAATCAGTTTTTATTAAGGTGTGAACAAGAAAATGCTTAGGCTCGCAGGCCCGTATCAATAATACAGTATAGGTACATAATGTCAGTACGGTATATGTCCAAATAGGATTTATAGTCAGGTTCAATTTACAGCGGGTATCATTTTTCAATTGTAACAGTGTTCCTTAACAAAAATTGCAATGCTGTTCCATTTTGATACCGTATGTATCCAATTGAGCCCGACATGAACGAGATCAAGGTGGACACACTAACGTCCATCAGTACCTTGAGGTTACACGTTTACAAACGTTAATCTTCTTTAACATTTGTCAATAAGTGTGAGAGTGTGGTGTGATGTATTGTAGTGTGTTATGGTTTAAGATGGTCATTGCATAGGTGGTGGCAGTATGTTAGTTTAGTATAGAACAACTAATACAAGTGAAGTTAAAATAAGATAATGTGGGTTATAAAAAGTTAAATTATATTGCATAAAGTATCCCCCCATATTGTGTGGTCCTCCATATGTGTTATTCCAGTCCTCGGTTTGTCCGTATTATGAAACGTGATAGATCCAAGGAGGGTTATCTCTGGTGTCACTGTGATGAGGTATCTCCCTTTCTCCTTTAGGTGATATCCCCAATGTCCCAAATGGTCCATCTAATTTCTGGTTTATTTCCCTGACTGGCCTGTATGATGCCAGGGTGTTGTGTTTCAGGAATGATGAGCGAGGGGAGCTACTTATTATGGTGCATGTATCGGTGGGAACAGGGAGTGTGGGTTTCCCGAGTTTCCTCTCAAGGGGAATAGTATTTTGCTGTGTGTGTGTCAGGGATATGGAATTGTCGTGTATGATAATTAGTTGACCCAGTGTCATCCCTCCAGTATTGTGTTATGGGCTTCCTTTGAAGTCCTAGTTAGCTGTTACTGTCCTGCGTTTTAGTGACTAAGTTGTCATGGGGGATTGGTCAGGTCATCGTCCACCGAGTATTCATCCGATTGTAACCTTGTTGGAATTGTTAATGTTTGACCTTGTTCCGACTAATTATTTGTGCGCATTCCTTTCATGTGCATCCCTTTGTCTGTTCTATCTGTGTTGTTCCCCTGTCTGAATAAGGTGTTATGGTCGGCGTGTTAGATGTGGTGCGTGTATCCGCTAGTGCAAGAAGGTGGTTATGGGTCGTAGCATAGGGTATGGTTCTGCTGTGCGGGCTGCCCCATCCCCCGACCACCCACCAACACCCCCCTATGTTCCTGCAAGAAAGGTGAACCATGGCGCCCATGTCTCTGCGCATTTTGCTCCCCTACCCCCCAATTCCGCCTGAAGTGCTTCAGCTGCCCTAATATCCTCGACTCTGTGGATCCATTCCTCCTGTGTGGGGTGTTCGTTTTCTTCCAGTACACCGGCACGAGTGACTTAGCTGCGTAGGGCTTGTTTATGTACAGAGTATTTGTTTTATTTTTATGTATTTTAAGTTCATTTTACTTGGCTTTCCTGCTCATTCGATCCTGCTATTGGGTTGTAGTTCCAGCAGAGCTTGATGTGCCTTTCTGATACTTCTTTTTTGTAAGTGTATCTTGTAATAAATTGTGTCATTTTTATTTAAGATACTCTGCACTATTATTTATTTTTCTTCCTCCTATGCACGTTATTGACATGCCACAAGTCCTGAAGTTTACAGATCGTCATTTATGATATGCCTTCAATCAAATTGGGTTTGTGAGTGTAATCATTTACCTCTATAATTCCTATTGTACTACGTTACTGCTCTATGTCCGTCTCTATTATTTTTGTGTTGTAGATTGCCTTTTTGGTAGTATATTAATAATGTCCGGTGAGTATGCTGCCATGCAAGAACTGGGATGTTTTCAGCTTCCAGGAATTGTGTACAGATCCTTGCAACATGGGGCAGTTGCACAACAATGGACCTCAGGATCTCGTCACTGTATCATTCAAAATGCCATCAATAAAATGCACCGGTGTTCGTTGTCTATAACATACGCCTGCCCATACCATAACCCCACTGCCACCATGGGCCACTTGATCCACAATGTTGACATCAGCAAACCGCTCACCCACAGGATGCCATACACGCTGTCTGCCATCTGCTCTGTACAATGAAAACCGGGATTCATCGGGGAAGAGAACACCTCTCCAAAGTGCCAGATGCCATCAAATGAGCGGCGATGAACTGCAGTCAGGTCGAGACCCCGATGAGGGCGACGAGCATGCATATGAGCTTCCCTGAGATGGTTTCTGACAGTTTGTGCAGAATTTTTTTTGTTATGTAAACCGATTGTTGCAGCAGCTGTCTGGGTGGCTGGTCTCAAACGATCTTGGAGGTGAAGATGCTGGATGTGGAGGTCCTGGGCAGGTGTGGTTACACGTGGTCTGCGGTTGTGAGGCCGGTTGGATGTACTGCCAAATTCTTTGAAACGCCTTTGGAGATGGCAATTCACGGGCAACAGCTCTGGTGGACATTCCTGCAGTCAGCATGCCAATTGCACGCTCCCTCAAAACTTGCGACATTTGTGGCATTGTACTATGTGATAAAACTGCACATTTTAGAGTGGCCTTTTATTGTGGCCAGCCTAAGGCACACCTTTGCAATAATCATGCTGTCAAAGCAGCCATAGGCGTGTGCACGGGGTGTGCCAAGTGTGCCTGGGCACACCCTAATCCCCGCGGCACGCGCTCATTGGCGGATCCAGGGGAGGGCAACGGGGCAATTGCCCCCCCGAGATTCTCCCCTGCTGGCTAATGCAGGGCTGGCATTGTCCAAGTGCCAGCCCTGCTATGTGCCTGCGGACCGGGGAGGGAGATCAGCCGGCAGGGGAGGGAGAGAGGACCCGGGAGCTCTTACCTGCAGCTCCTCCGGGTCCCCCATTCGCGAGATTTGGAGCGTTGCCGCAATTACCACGGCAACGCTCCAAATCTCGCGAGAGTGAAGTCTAGTCCTGGAGTGCGGGCTAGACTTCACTCCACACTGGACCACCAGGGATTCACCACGGACCACCAGGGACGGAGAAATGTCCCCCATCCTCCTCAACAAAGGTAAGAAGGGAGGGGGGACAGCAATATATTTTATTAAATACTTTTAAAAAAAAAAGCCTCCATACCCTCCTTCCTCACCCACACACACATACACTGCCCCCCATACACACATACACTGCCCCCGTACACACGTACACTGCCCCCCACACACACATACACTGCCCATACACACATACACACTGCTCCCCATACACACGTACACTGCCCCCACACACACACATACACTGCCTCCCATACACACACGTACACTGCCCCCCCATACATGTACACTGCCCCCCCACACACATACACTGCCCACCCATACACACACAGCCCCACAAACACTGCACACCCATACACACACATACGCAGCTTGTGTGTTTCTGCTTTAGGGTGCACACCCTTATACAATAGGCTGTGCACGCCTATGAAAGCAGCATCTTGATATGCCACACCTGTGAGGTTGATGAAATATCTCGGCAAAGTGCTCACTAATACAGATTTAGACAGATTTGTGAACAATATTTGAGAGCAATATGCCTTTTGTGTACATAGAAAAAGTGTTAGATTTGTGAATCCAGCTCATGAAAAATGGGGCAAAAACAAAAGTGTTGCGTTTATAATTTTGTTCAGTGTATATATATATATATATATAGTAGAGATTATAGCTGTATTAGTCCAGTGATGCAGATGATGTAAAATAACAGATGAAATTTGTATCTTGTAATACCTTTTTTATTGAACTAACATAATTTTGGAATGACACGATTTCGGAAAAACCTCCCTTTCTCAAGTCTAAAACATTTCAGAACAAAAATGACACATGGAATTCAAAGCTGAGTTGTGATACAGGGGTCAAAGCAAACTGACTGTAGATAAGACACACGGCTGATAGAAAATAGACACCATTCTCGCAGGGGGTCATAAATATCTTGTATGAAGATCACAGAATGAGGGGGGAGAGGGAGAAGAAAAGCAAACAGAGCAGAAGATGGTGTAAGACGGGGGAGAGTAAAAAAGTGAATTACACAGATCATGAATTTTCATGAAAGAGTCCAGAAGTTTATTTGAGAGAGAGACAAACACACACACACACACACGGACACACGGACACATTTTATTTCTCATTTGCTGGATTACAGAGGTCTCAGTTTTACTCCAGTTGTTTAATAGTTATATCCCCGAATGGTATATTTTAAATACGTTGAACATGAATGTTTAGCACACTTTTAAGATTTAAGTGACACATTCAGAGAGTCCTTTCTTGCTATCTCCCATTGCTGCATTAAATCTTGCACATAATGTAATTTATTTGAAATATTCTAAGTGTATATTATTTCTTGTTGATCCAGGGCATGTTAAAATATGTTATGTCTACACTGCAAATAAGAGAATTTATTGCTTTTAGTGACTTTTCACTGCCTGTCATGTTTGGAATTTAACATCCAAAGCTACAATTGAATGATTTACAGTAGCAGTGCAGGCAAGAAGAACAGAGAGCAAAGTATTTATGTACAGTCTATCTGCAAGGGGTTACAGTAGCTCTGGGATTTATTCTGCCTGGACTAACGATCCCACCTTATTCATAAATATTACAACACCTTTAGAATAAAATATAAAATGTGTGGCATAATGGGGAATGTGACTACAAATTCAGTAAAGACTATGCAAAGAGTGAATGTAAATATATGGAAATCAGACAAAAATGGTTGGCATATATGTTATACAGTAAAGATCCATACAAAATGTAACATGCGGAGAGACACTTAATATAATTACTACCACAATTATGGGTGCTACTCCAACAAGGTACTCCCTCCAATACCAATAAACAAATACTCAAAAAGAAAGGAATGCACACCAACTGATACAATAGTATCTATCTAAATATATTTATTATAATACAATGCAATTATTACATACACAAATTGTAACAATCTGATAGTGACCAAATAGGCAAAAAAAGGCTAAACCATATAATTACCAAATCTCACAAGCCTATATGGGCAGAAACCCGAGTCACAAACAGTCCCCCAACGTTTCGGCTCCTCCTGGCAGCCTTTATCAAGGGTAGCTATATCATAGCATCATCCAGGAACCCATTATATACACATATACAACTTACTAATTACTTACAGCTGATGGCCATCAGTGATGTCACAAAGAGCCAAGACCGGAAGTGACATCATCACTTCAGATCATAGCCCTGTATAAAGAATTAAATAACATACATAGTTATTGTACATTCCCAATGTTATTCCCAAACTGACTGCCTCATTGATGCAAAAAATGTCCCACTACTGTACAATCCACAAACCTTCTCGCCAGTCTAAATGAAACGCGCATGCGCAATACAAACAAAAACGATCACCACATCGTCCACTGGCACCACAAACATACCAACATTAATATACTCCACATAACCCCAAGGAAATACCAAGCACTAAAGCTCTACATAAACAATAACAAAACGCGCATTTCACCTTATTTTGCTCGGCCAATCATACCGGGGTTCCCTTCCTACGGAAGCCTCCGAGATCCACATCTAATAGAAAGTCGCATCAAAAGAGCGCCGCGCCGCTCGCGCATGCGCATCCCCCAAATTAAAGGAATGTATAATGTATAATGTATAATACAGTAAAGATCCATCATATGCCTACCTTAAAGGGACACTATAGTCACCAGAACAGCTTAATGTAGTTGTTCTGGTGAGTAGAATATGTTACTGCAGGCATTTTAATGTAAAGGTTGCTTTTTCAGAGCAAAGGGACACCTCCAGTGGCAGTCACTCAGACTACCACTAGAGGTGCATCACTGACATTCAGGATTTCTACGCTCTGCATGGAGGCCCTGTAATTTCCCCATAGAGATGCATTGAGTCAATGAAGAGATGCTGATTTGAGCAGTGCAGCGTTTTGCATGCATGCGCGATAGCCTCCCAATGCTTTGCTATGGGAAAACAGTGGATTGGCTGAGATCATCAAGTCTGATGATCTCAGCCAAGGGGGCAGAGCAAGGGTGGGGCAAGTCGCGACCGGACTGGTGCTGGAAAAAGGTGAGTAAATTACCTCTTTAACCGGAGGTAAAGGGAAACCGGGGGCTTAAACTGTTATTTAAACCAATACTGTCAGGAATACGTTAATGTAGCAAAATGGAGTACATACTTGTTACTTAAAAAATGGGATTTACATCCAGTCCGTGCCAAGCTTCTTTAAGTGACTCCTGTTACTTTTGGGTGTCTGCATATTTTACAAACACCCCCAAAGGTGACATGCCTTGTTCAGTGTGCAGTGGCTCAGGGTAGAAGCTGAACAGAAATAAAATTACCTGAATCTCTCCTTTGCGGATGCTGCCATCTTTATTTTGTCTTCTGTTTTCAGCTCCTGAAGCTTCATCCGCCAGGAGCTATGTCAATGGTGTACTCATGCTCATGTATAAAAGTACAACACAGCTACTTTAGAAGCTACCTACTGCATGACCGAGCACTTTTATGTTAACTAACTTGTTTTTTCTAAACTATTTTTCCTCACTAAACCAAAAAATGTGCGACTACCTGCTATGCCATAATGAAAATCAGTCGTAACCAGTGGCGTACTAAGGTGGGGGCAGGGGGGGGCGGTCCGCCCCGGGTGCCAGCCGGGTGGGGGGTGCCATGGCCAGCCCCGCCGCCCCCCCCCCCTTGCTGCAGCCGCCCGAGCGCTCTGTAGAGAGCCTCAGGCGGCTGCAGCTTTGCCCGGGCGGTGCGTCCATGAGGGCGGACTGCACCGCCCGGGCGCAGCCAGAGGAGAGGCTGACAGGAGGGCCTCCTGTCAGTTTCCTTTGCTGTAGCGTGGCCGAGCCCGGCAGCATTGATAGTCTGCGGGTACAGGTAGCAGCTGTCTCCTGTACCCGCCCGGACTAACAGGAAGTGCACACTGAGTGTGCACTTCCTGTTAGTCCGGCCGGGTACAGGAGACAGCTGCTCTCTGTACCCGCGGACTATACTTGCCTCGGCCACGCTACAGCAA